AAGGAGTGATATTCATATAAGTTGATTATTAAATATATTACTCTAATTTTAAGGATGTGCGATCGAACACAGGTTAAAGCACTTAAAAAAAGTAAAAAATACAAAATAAAGCAACACAAAAAATAAACAAAAAATTATCATTCTTGAATTTTGTAGGGAGTAAATGGAAAGTGCAATTACAACAAAAACCAACGACTCATCAAGCCAACCATATAACCCCCAAAAAAAATCATATTTTTTTTTCCAGCTAAGCAGGTAAAAAAAGTTAAATTATTTAACCAATATAAATAACAAATAAGAAAAAATGGTAATTATATACATTCTTAAACTTTTTGAGTAAATAAGAAAAATGGTAATTACAGTAAAACCCATGACTAGTAGGGGATAATGTACTTAAATGCAGGATAATAAAATTGAATAAGAGAATTGGTAACTGCTTTAGGCGGGAACTGAAAGTAATATAATTAAATGATGAAAAATTTAAATATTTGTATCAAAATAAAGAAGTGAATAAATAGGTTCGAAATAATTATTGGAGGCGAAAACGGCTAAAAAAGGACGGAAACGAATATCGGACCAAGCTTGGAACAGGCCCATGTACACTGCCCGTAATAAGAGTACTGCATAAAATACTTTGTTGGGCAGAATAAGGATATTGGCCCAAGTTATGAGCCCAATTTGAAGGATAAAAGTAAGCCCATAAACTATTTAAACCAAGGGTAGAATGGTCAATTCACCAATCAAGATGAAATAATGTCATCTCCTTCTCTTTCATGTGATATTTCCGCCATGGATGCGTTCTAATGCGCTGCTCTTGCATCAAGTCATCTTGCCGCCGATAGGTAACCGATGACCGACCAGATGCCGTCCATTCACTTCGGGGTTCACTAAAGGTCGACCAGAGCAACCAAACGTGATCGCAGGAAAAGAGCTCACGTAGTCGGGCGCTCTGATGCCGGAATCCGCCATATCCGACGACCTGAAGCCGACTAAAACGATTGTGATCCCGCCTGATACTCCGCAGAGTGAAACGGAGCAGCCGCGCCGCCATCCTTTTGCCGGGAAGCTGCTGCAGATCACCTTCATGTCTACTGCCGGAAACCGGCAGGGAACCTCCATGTCTGGCGATAATTGAGTTCGATAAAGAAAAAAAAAAATTGAGACAGTAAAATGACATGTAATATGTAATTTACGAAAATTTAGTGGTTTATTTGAGATATGTAATTATGTTTAGGGTCAATATTAAGAATGAAATACATAAAGACCTTTTATGTAAATTCATACAAGTTTTTTTAAGTAAGGTCATTTCAGTATTTACACAAATCATTAGGGACACTTGGCAGGAATTGAAGGGGTACCTGTTGTTATGCATGTACGGCATGTACGTGGGGTACCTGATGGTAGAATGACCCACCTTTTTCTTTTAATTCTTTTTTTTTTTTTAAGAAACGATAGAAAGATCTATATAACTCAAAGAAAATCCAAATGACCCCCGAATCATAAAACTGAGAAGCTCGCTTACAAAGTAGCCTAGAACCTCAACTATTGGTAACAAACTAAGAAAAGAAACTACTCCAGAATTAAGAGCTACTGCCAAACTGCCTAGCATAGACATCTTATTTCCAAAAACCTGAGACCAACAATAACCAAAACAAGAACCTAACATAAACTGAGAAAAAGCAAAGACCAAGAACAAGAGAAATAAAACAGAACTACTAAACTAGATAACTTAAGAGAATTCAAGCCAGTCCTTATGAGCCATTTTGCGTACAATGTGAATTGGGATTGAAGCATGTTGAAATAACCAAAGGTTTCTGGATCTCCAGAGTCACCACAGCATGTAGGTTGTCAGTTGGATTCTTGCTTTGGTTGTGTCAGAGTTGTCCAGTAAACATACCTACTGCCACCAATGGTTGAAGGAGTCTGAGGCAGTAGAGATGCCCTTCAAGCTTGCTGGTGATAATTTCCAGAGGTGCCTAGCATGAGGACAGTGAAATAGAAGATGCTCAATTGTCTCAGGAGATTCCCCACAACAGATACATGTGGTATCTACATCCAGACCTCTTCTAAACAGATTCATAGAGACAGGCAGAGTTCCTGAAAGGCATTTCCAAAGGAAATGTTTGAGTTTGCCAGACACTTTCATATGCCAGCATCTGTAGATAGCTTTCTTGGTGCTCTCTGCATTGGAACTGATTTGTGGCTGATCCATTTTCAAGTAGGAGTATGTACTGGAGAAAGTGAAAATACCTTTTTTCCCAAGACCCCAGAAAAGCCTATTTGCTCTGTCAGGTTTCAGGGTGTGTATGCTTAAAATGGCTTTGTTATCTTCCTCATCGAACATTTGCTTCACTAGCCAGTCATTCCATCTATGACCATTGTCTAACATCAGGTCCTTTACCCAGATGGCCCCTTTCAAGCTCCATAATAACTGGTTTGGGCTTAGAAAGGTGTGGCACCCAATTCAAATCCTCAATTCTTGTTGTGGCACCATTTATGGTTTCAGTTTTCAATCATTTGACTAACACAGGTAGAACATGAAGCCAACAGTTCCAAGTCCAAGATCCACTTTGAATTCTACCAGCATTGAAAATAGAAGTGTGTGTAAAGTACCTGTCCTTCAGGATCCTACTGACAAGAAGTTATGGCTGTGTTGCAATCCTGCATAGCTGTTTGCAGATGAGTGCATCATTGAATAATGGGATGTCATGGAAGCCCTCTATTCATTTTTGGCAGTGAGAGCTTGTCCCAACTTTTCCAGTGAAGTCCCTAAGCTTGTTGATCACCTTTGCTCCACCAGAACTGGCTGCATAGTTTAGAGATTTCAGAACAAATAGTAAGAGGAAGTCTGAAGCAGGTCATTGTGAATACTGGGAGAGCCTGGATGACTGCTTTGATGAGGACTTCCTTCCCAGCAGTAGACCGTAATTTAGATTTCCAACTCTGGAGTTTGCTCTTGATGGAGACCAAAAGATATGAGAAAATTTCCTGTAATGCCCCACTTTATTTTGAAAGATTTATCAAATTTATTTAATAAAAATTTGAGTTAATTTTTCGCAAATCTCAAATTTAATTTAAAACTCAGTGGGCGCTACTTAACTACTAAGAATCAATAACCGAAAATATAACACATCAGATAAAATTCGAAACATGCATGATAAATAGTTATAGAAACTTCATTAGAATTTAATAAATTTCAAAATCATGAAATCCAAAACATAATCAACATTCCAAGTCAAACATGAGTTCACAAAAGCAAAAGCGATAATAATGATAATCATAAATCAATAAACGAGACCACCTACTCGTCTTGCCTCGTCACCCGCCAACTGCTTAACCTGCATCCGTGAAGAGCAGGTGGGAGTGAGTACAGTTGGAAAATATTGTACTCACACTATGCATATGAACAACTCAGAATATGATAAGGTGGTATGGTCGCAGCATGAACATAAACAATAATAATAACATGTCTCATCTCTAGTCATATCTATGACTCTTACCATGGCTATGGCTCACTCATGTGCACATCTACGCTTAGTCGTGCCATATCTCTGACACGGGAGTGCGTGCCACGTATGGACACGGCATTATCTGAAGGTCTTAATGAGATTTACCTCGTAAGGGTAACCGTATTACATCGACGGGGACAACCGTACCGATGGCT